ATACTGCTACTCTTCGGCGCATAACAAAAGTGGAACAGCTATATTTAAACAAGGCATCATTTTGTCTAGTTATTGTAATTTCTGTCAAAGTTCTAATGTTTTCATTTGAAGCCTCCCTCATATAAAGGTGGAAGGTCAGAGATCATTTGAAGCCCCCCTCATATAAAAGTGGACGGTCACAGATAATTTAAAGCCCCCTCATATAAAGCTGGAAGATCATTTGATATCCCTGTGTACAGTGCATGTTACAGCAACTGGATTCTTTCAGTCAAAATAAATACCGAGAACCAATCAAACCAAACACATAAAACCAAACATTTGGTCAAACCAGACATTCAATCGAAACCAAACAAGTAAAACCAAACATTTGGTCAAACCAAACACGCAGTCAAACAAACACATAAAACCAAACATTCCGTCAAACCAAACACATAAATGGAAACGTTCAGTTAATAAGACAAACTGGGCACCAAATGATCAACCCTCTCCTAACCGTCATTTGAAACAAAAAAATAACAGCAGTGTTCTGATTTGTTAGAGCGTCTGTTTCTGTGCTACTGTAGTTCATCTCCTCTCCTTACAATTTTATTTCTTCTCCAAATCCTTTTCTACTCAAAGTTCAATTTCTCCTTTACCCCACATCTTTTTCTACTCAAAACTCTATTTATCTTATACTCGTGTCCTGTTTTTCCTCTCGCCGACTCAAGATTGTACTTTTTGCCTTATCCCACACAAGGTTATACTTTTTGCCTTATCCCACTCAAGATTGTACTTTTTTTTTGCTTTTTCCCAGGTCCTTTCTAAAGTTGTGTTTGTTATCACAGTTCTTTCTTCCAAAAGTTCTATTTCTTCTTTTCCTTCCCTACCCTAAGTTCATCTCTTCTACCTCTTGCATATACTAACAAGCAGAAGAAGAAGAAAAAGAGGAGGAGGAAGAACAAGAAGAAGAAGAAGATGATGATAGAGAAGAAGAAGAGGCATCTACAAAGAAGACTGGACTGCTCAGCTAGAACTCACCTGATCCACTTAGTGGTGGCACTGATGGAGCCAGCTAGATCACTTTTGCTTCTGTGGTGAGTCTTGCTCCTGTGGGAGAGTGATCCTGCCAAAGAGTTTTGTAGAGACAACACTGGAGGCTGTTTGGTGGGTCCGACTGCTGGCGGGGCTGTCACATCTGCCAGATGTCTTACTACACAAGAAACAACAAACAAATTAACACACACAAACTACTCAACACATGATATTGTCTGTTTAAAAGAAAAGAAGGCACTTCCTCTATAACGCAAGAGGCTGTCCAGTGAGATATCAGGTTCTGCTGTTTGCTCTGATGTTATCTTTCCATCTTGTTCTTGAGCTTTATATCCTTCTCCACTTTTGGTATAAGCGCTGTATGATATGGCATCAAAAGGCATTCTCTTTCTCAGTGGGCTGTATGATATGGCATCACAAGGCATTCTCTGTAAGTGGGCAAATCATTTGCTCTGATATCTCCGTATACAGTTTTAAAATTGGTTTTGTGCCACTTGTTCACTTATGACCTGATTCCTGGGTTGCTTCTGTAGCCCATCTCATGTCCATGGTTACAGATGTTCTTGTCTGGTTGGCTGTGGGTGATACAAAATGGCACTGTCTGTCGGTGATCAAGTCTTGTCTTCGTGTTTGTCAGTCAATGGGTTCTGTGCAAGAAGTGATTCTTTTTATGTCCTTGCTGCTTCAGAAATATGATACTGAGTCCTTGTTTGTATTCACCAGTGGTCAGTCTAGAATTGTCGTAGTCAACGTGAACATGTGAGACATGGACAACATATAAGACATAGACAATATGTGAGGAAACGGACAACATGTGAGCTAGTAAAAAGTAAGGTAAGCACAATATTCCATGTGTAAAAAATCTTCACATGTGTGTAACATTCTTGAATGTTGTGGGATTTTAATAATATTTTTGTTATAATACTGACAAATAATTTAGATTTATTCTGCCTTTATTTCTCTTCAGTTTGATAGATTATGTCTCTATATAATACAGCCAATACATTTTCTTCAGAAAGGTTTTTAGCTTTGTCATGTTGCAATAAAACAAAATTCAGCTTAAAATTAATGCTATCCAAACCCCATAAATAAAGTGATCCTGAAAGAATTAAAACTACAATTGGAGAAATTACAAGCCAACAGGCAACAGTTTTTGACACAACAGAAATAAAGTGTTGATAACTTTGCGACAATGGTTAACTATCACTGGAAAAAGTAAACAGTAAAGATTTGTTGACATAATGGAAATAAAATTGATAACTTAGTGACAGCTGGTAACTTCCACTAGAAGGCAGCCAGAAGATCATAGAGATAAAAACCTGGATGGGTTGGTGACATGGGACAGGCGAGAACACATCTGAGGTGTCAGTAATCATGTGAGACCCATTCAAGCAGCCTGGTCAACTAACCGTCAACCCACTCAATAAACCAGCCATCCCACACCCTCAAGCAACCATCCAACACACTCAAGCAACCATCCAACATGCTCAAGCAACCACCCAACACGCTCAAGCAACCACCCAACACGCTCAAGCAACCATCCAACACGCTCAAGCAACCATCCAACATGCTCAAGCAACCACCCAACACGCTCAAGCAACCATCCAACATGCTCAAGCAACCACCCAACACCCTCAAGCAACCACCCAACATGCTCAAGCAACCACCCAACACCCTCAAGCAACCACCCAACACCCTCAAGCAACCACCCAACACGCTCAAGCAACCACCCAACATGCTTAAGCAACCACCCAACACCCTCAAGCAACCACCCAACACCCTCAAGCAACCACCCAACACCCTTAAGCAACCACCCAACACCCTCAAGCAACCATCCAACACGCTCAAGCAACCACCCAACATGCTCAAGCAATCATCCAACACCCTCAAGCAACCACCCAACACCCTCAAGCAACCATCCAACATGCTCAAGCAACCACCCAACACCCTCAAGCAACCATCCAACACGCTCAAGCAACCACCCAACACGCTCAAGCAACCATCCAACATGCTCAAGCAACCACCACCCAACATGCTCAAGCAACCACCCAAACATGCTCAAGCAAACCCACCCAACATGCTCAAGCAACCACCCAAACACCCTCAAGCAACCATCCAACATGCTCAAGCAACCATCCAACATGCTCAAGCAACCATCCAACACCCTCAAGCAACCACCCAACACCCTCAAGCAACCACCCAACACCCACAAGCAACCACCCAACATGATCAAGCAACCATCCAACATGCTCAAGCAACCATCCAACATGCTCAAGCAACCATCCAACATGCTCAAGCAACCATCCAACATGCTCAAGCAACCACCCAACATGCTCAAGCAACCACCCAACATGCTCAAGCAACCACCCAACATGCTCAAGCAACCACCCAACATGCTCAAGCAACCACCCAACATGCTCAAGCAACCACCCAACATGCTCAAGCAACCACCCAACATGCTCAAGCAACCACCCAACATGCTCAAGCAACCACCCAACATGCTCAAGCAACCACCCAACATGCTCAAGCAACCATCCAACATGCTCAAGCAACCATCCAACACCCTCAAGCAACCACCCAACATGCTCAAGCAACCACCCAACATGCTCAAGCAACCACACAACATGCTCAAGCAACCACCCAACACCCTCAAGCAACCACCCAACACCCTCAAGCAACCACCCAACACCCTCAAGCAACCACCCAACACCCTCAAGCAACCACCCAACACCCTCAAGCAACCACCCAACACCCTCAAGCAACCACCCAACATGCTCAAGCAACCACACAACATGCTCAAGCAACCACCCAACATGCTCAAGCAACCACCCAACATGCTCAAGCAACCACCCAACATGCTCAAGCAACCATCCAACATGCTCAAGCAAACACCCAACACCCTCAAGCAACCACCCAACATGCTCAAGCAACCATCCAACATGCTCAAGCAACCATCCAACACCCTCAAGCAACCACCCAACATGCTCAAGCAACCACCCAACATGCTCAAGCAACCATCCAACATGCTCAAGCAACCACACAACATGCTCAAGCAACCACCCAACACCCTCAAGCAACCACCCAACACCCTCAAGCAACCACCCAACACCCTCAAGCAACCACCCAACATGCTCAAGCAACCACCCAACATGCTCAAGCAACCATCCAACATGCTCAAGCAACCACCCAACACCCTCAAGCAACCACCCAACATGCTCAAGCAACCATCCAACACCCTCAAGCAACCACCCAACATGCTCAAGCAACCATCCAACATGCTCAAGCAACCACACAACATGCTCAAGCAACCACCCAACACCCTCAAGCAACCATCCAACATGCTCAAGCAACCACCCAACACGCTCAAGCAACCATCCAACACGCTCAAGCAACCATCCAACATGCTCAAGCAACCATACAACACGCTCAAGCAACCATCCAACATGCTCAAGCAACCATCCAACATGCTCAAGCAACCATCCAACATGCACAAGCAACCATACAACACGTTCAAGCAACCACCCAACACGCTCAAGCAACCACCCAACACGCTCAAGCAACCACCCAACATGCTCAAGCAACCATCCAACATGCTCAAGCAACCACCCAACATGCTCAAGCAATCATCCAACACCCTCAAGCAACCACCCAACACCCTCAAGCAAACCATCCAACATGCTCAAGCAACCACCCAACACCCTCAAGCAACCATCCAACACGCTCAAGCAACCACCCACAACACGCTCAAGCAACATCCCAACATGCTCAAGCAACCACCCAACATGCTCAAGCAACCACCCAACATGCTCAAGCAACCACCCAACATGCTCAAGCAACCACCCAACACCCTCAAGCAACCATCCAACACGCTCAAGCAACCATCCAACATGCTCAAGCAACCACCTAACACCCTCAAGCAACCACCTAACACCCTCAAGCAACCATCCAACATGCTTAAGCAACCACCCAACATGCTTAAGCAACCACCCAACACCCTCAAGCAACCATCCAACATGCTCAAGCAACCACCCAACATGATCAAGCAACCATCCAACATGCTCAAGCAACCATCCAACATGCTCAAGCAACCACCCAACATGCTCAAGCAATCATCCAACACCCTCAAGCAACCACCCAACACCCTCAAGCAACCATCCAACATGCTCAAGCAACCACCCAACACCCTCAAGCAACCATCCAACACCCTCAAGCAACCACCCAACACGCTCAAGCAACCATCCAACATGCTCAAGCAACCACCCAACATGCTCAAGCAACCACCCAACATGCTCAAGCAACCACCCAACATGCTCAAGCAACCACCCAACACCCTCAAGCAACCATCCAACACCCTCAAGCAACCATCCAACATGCTCAAGCAACCATCCAACACCCTCAAGCAACCACCCAACACCCTCAAGCAACCACCCAACACCCACAAGCAACCATCCAACATGATCAAGCAACCATCCAACATGCTCAAGCAACCATCCAACATGCTCAAGCAACCATCCAACATGCTCAAGCAACCATCCAACATGCTCAAGCAACCACCCAACATGCTCAAGCAACCACCCAACATGCTCAAGCAACCACCCAACATGCTCAAGCAACCACCCAACATGCTCAAGCAACCACCCAACATGCTCAAGCAACCACCCAACATGCTCAAGCAACCACCCAACATGCTCAAGCAACCACCCAACATGCTCAAGCAACCACCCAACATGCTCAAGCAACCACCCAACATGCTCAAGCAACCACCCAACATGCTCAAGCAACCATCCAACATGCTCAAGCAACCACCCAACACCCTCAAGCAACCACCCAACATGCTCAAGCAACCACCCAACATGCTCAAGCAACCACACAACATGCTCAAGCAACCACCCAACACCCTCAAGCAACCACCCAACACCCTCAAGCAACCACCCAACACCCTCAAGCAACCACCCAACACCCTCAAGCAACCACCCAACACCCTCAAGCAACCACCCAACACCCTCAAGCAACCATCCAACATGCTCAAGCAACCACACAACATGCTCAAGCAACCACCCAACATGCTCAAGCAACCACCCAACATGCTCAAGCAACCAACCCAACATGCTCAAGCAACCACCCCCCACACCCTCAAGCAACCACCCAACATGCTCAAGCAACCATCCAACATGCTCAAGCAACCATCCAACACCCTCAAGCAACCACCCAACATGCTCAAGCAACCACCCAACATGCTCAAGCAACCATCCAACATGCTCAAGCAACCACATAACATGCTCAAGCAACCACCCAACACCCTCAAGCAACCACCCAACACCCTCAAGCAACCACCCAACACCCTCAAGCAACCACCCAACATGCTCAAGCAACCACCCAACATGCTCAAGCAACCATCCAACATGCTCAAGCAACCACCCAACACCCTCAAGCAACCACCCAACATGCTCAAGCAACCATCCAACACCCTCAAGCAACCACCCAACATGCTCAAGCAACCATCCAACATGCTCAAGCAACCACACAACATGCTCAAGCAACCACCCAACACTCTCAAGCAACCATCCAACATGCTCAAGCAACCACCCAACACGCTCAAGCAACCATCCAACACGCTCAAGCAACCATCCAACATGCTCAAGCAACCATACAACACGCTCAAGCAACCATCCAACATGCTCAAGCAACCATCCAACATGCTCAAGCAACCATCCAACATGCACAAGCAACCATACAACACGTTCAAGCAACCACCCAACACGCTCAAGCAACCACCCAACACGCTCAAGCAACCACCCAACATGCTCAAGCAACCATCCAACATGCTCAAGCAACGACCCAACATGCTCAAGCAATCATCCAACACCCTCAAGCAACCACCCAACACCCTCAAGCAACCATCCAACATGCTCAAGCAACCACCCAACACCCTCAAGCAACCATCCAACACGCTCAAGCAACCACCCAACACGCTCAAGCAACCATCCAACATGCTCAAGCAACCACCCAACATGCTCAAGCAACCACCCAACATGCTCAAGCAACCACCCAACATGCTCAAGCAACCACCCAACACCCTCAAGCAACCATCCAACACGCTCAAGCAACCATCCAACATGCTCAAGCAACCACCCAACACCCTCAAGCAACCATCCAACACCCTCAAGCAACCATCCAACATGCTCAAGCAACCATCCAACATGCTCAAGCAACCATCCAACATGCTCAAGCAACCATCCAACATGCTCAAGCAACCACCCAACACCCTCAAGCAACCACCCAACATGCTCAAGCAACCATCCAACACCCTCAAGCAACCATCCAACACCCTCAAGCAACCACCCAACATGCTCAAGCAACCATCCAACATGCTCAAGCAACCACACAACATGCTCAAGCAACCACCCAACACCCTCAAGCAACCATCCAACACGCTCAAGCAACCACCCAACACGCTCAAGCAACCATCCAACACGCTCAAGCAACCATCCAACATGCTCAAGCAACCATACAACACGCTCAAGCAACCATCCAACATGCTCAAGCAACCATCCAACATGCTCAAGCAACCATCCAACATGCACAAGCAACCATACAACACGCTCAAGCAACCATAAAACACGCTCAAGCAACCACCCAACATGTTCAAGCAACCACCCAACACGCTCAAGCAACCACCAAACACGCTCAAGCAACCACCCAACATGCTCAAGCAACCATCCAACACGCTCAAGCAACCACACAACATGCTCAAGCAACCACCCAACATGCTCAAGCAACCACCCAACATGCTCAAGCAACCACCCAACACGCTCAAGCAACCACCCAACACCCTCAAGCAACCACCCAACACCCTCAAGCAACCATCCAACATGCTCAAGCAACCACCCAACATGATCAAGCAACCATCCAACATGCTCAAGCAACCACCCAACACCCTCAAGCAACCATCCAACACCCTCAAGCAACCACCCAACACCCTCAAGCAACCATCCAACATGCTCAAGCAACCACCCAACACCCTCAAGCAACCATCCAACATGCTCAAGCAACCACCCAACATGCTCAAGCAACCATCCAACATGCTCAAGCAACCACCCAACACCCTCAAGCAACCATCCAACATGCTCAAGCAACCATCCAACACCCTCAAGCAACCATCCAACATGCTCAAGCAACCACCTAACACCCTCAAGCAACCACCTAACACCCTCAAGCAACCATCCAACATGCTTAAGCAACCACCCAACATGCTTAAGCAACCCCCAACACCCCCCCCACCCTCAAGCAACCATCCAACATGCTCAAGCAACCACCCAACATGATCAAGCAACCATCCAACATGCTCAAGCAACCATCCAACATGCTCAAGCAACCACCCAACATGCTCAAGCAATCATCCAACACCCTCAAGCAACCACCCAACACCCTCAAGCAACCATCCAACATGCTCAAGCAACCACCCAACACCCTCAAGCAACCATCCAACACGCTCAAGCAACCACCCAACACGCTCAAGCAACCATCCAACATGCTCAAGCAACCACCCAACATGCTCAAGCAACCACCCAACATGCTCAAGCAACCACCCAACATGCTCAAGCAACCACCCAACACCCTCAAGCAACCATCCAACATGCTCAAGCAACCATCCAACATGCTCAAGCAACCATCCAACACCCTCAAGCAACCACCCAACACCCTCAAGCAACCACCCAACACCCACAAGCAACCATCCAACATGATCAAGCAACCATCCAACATGCTCAAGCAACCATCCAACATGCTCAAGCAACCATCCAACATGCTCAAGCAACCATCCAACATGCTCAAGCAACCACCCAACATGCTCAAGCAATCATCCAACACCCTCAAGCAACCACCCAACACCCTCAAGCAACCACCCAACATGCTCAAGCAACCACCCAACACGCTCAAGCAACCATCCAACATGCTCAAGCAACCACCCAACATGCTCAAGCAACCACCCAACATGCTCAAGCAACCACCCAACATGCTCAAGCAACCACCCAACATGCTCAAGCAACCACCCAACATGCTCAAGCAACCACCCAACACCCTCAAGCAACCACCCAACACCCTCAAGCAACCATCCAACACCCTCAAGCAACCATCCAACACCCTCAAGCAACCATCCAACACCCTCAAGCAACCATCCAACACCCTCAAGCAACCATCCAACATGCTCAAGCAACCACCCAACACGCTCAAGCAACCACCCAACATGCTCAAGCAACCATCCAACACCCTCAAGCAACCACCCAACACCCTCAAGCAACCACCCAACACCCTCAAGCAACCATCCAACACCCTCAAGCAACCACCCAACACCCTCAAGCAACCACCCAACACCCTCAAGCAACCATCCAACACCCTCAAGCAACCATCCAACACCCTCAAGCAACCATCCAACACCCTCAAGCAACCATCCAACATGCTCAAGCAACCACCCAACATGCTCAAGCAACCACCCAACATGCTCAAGCAACCACCCAACACTCTCAAGCAACCATCCAACACGCTCAAGCAACCATCCAACATGCTCAAGCAACCATCCAACATGCTCAAGCAACCACCCAACATGCTCAAGCAACCACCCAACACCCTCAAGCAACCATCCAACATGCTCAAACAACCACCCAACACCCTCAAGCAACCATCCAACATGCTCAAGCAACCATCCAACATGCTCAAGCAACCACCCAACATGCTCAAGCAACCACCCAACACCCTCAAGCAACCATCCAACACCCTCAAGCAACCATCCAACATGCTCAAGCAACCATCCAACATGCTCAAGCAACCACCCAACACTCTCAAGCAACCATCCAACATGCTCAAGCAACCCCCCAACACCCTCAAGCAACCATCCAACACCCTCAAGCAACCATCCAACATGCTCAAGCAACCACCCAACATGCTCAAGCAACCACCCAACATGCTCAAGCAACCACCCAACATGCTCAAGCAATCACCCAACACCCTCAAGCAACCATCCAACATGCTCAAGCAACCATCCAACATGCTCAAGCAACCATCCAACATGCTCAAGCAACCACCCAACATGCTCAAGCAACCACCCAACACCCTCAAGCAACCATCCAACATGCTCAAGCAACCACCCAACACCCTCAAGCAACCATCCAACATGCTCAAGCAACCATCCAACATGCTCAAGCAACCATCCAACATGCTCAAGCAACCACCCAACATGCTCAAGCAACCACCCAACACCCTCAAGCAACCACCCAACACCCTCAAGCAACCATCCAACACCCTCAAGCAACCATCCAACATGCTCAAGCAACCATCCAACACCCTCAAGCAACCATCCAACATGCTCAAGCAACCACCCGATATGCTCAAGCAACCACCCAACACGCTCAAGCAACCACCCAACATGCTCAAGCAACCATCCAACACCCTTAATCAACCACCCAACATGCTCAAGCAACCATCCAACACGCTCAAGCAACCACCCAACATGCTCAAGCAACCACCCAACATGCTCAAGCAACCACCCAACATGCTCAAGCAACCATCCAACACACTCAAGCAATCATCCAACATGCTCAAGCAACCATCCAACACCCTCAAGCAACCATCCAACATGCTCAAGCAACCATCCAACACACTCAAGCAACCATCCAACATGCTCAAGCAACCATCTAGACATTCTGTATTTCTCCTACCTGAGCTAGTGATGATCTTGCTCCCAGCATTGAGTTCTGTGATTGTCGCATCAGCTCCGCCATCATCATCATCATCAGGAAACAACTCACTGTTGGGCCGATTCACCATTGGAGTGCCCAACACACTGATGTGACTGAGGTCAGCCAGGTTAAGGTCACGTTCAGGGGTGGCTGGACATGAACTGGGCACAGCCCTACGTGTGGGTGTTTCTGCTCTATCCAGTATCTGGGTTATGTCAGCATCCTGCTGCAAGGACGCTGAAGATGGATCCCCCATGTTGACCTTGAAATTGCCCCGATGAAGCTCTGTGAGTATCATCTCCACTAGCTGTTTCTTCTCTTCTCTGATGGAAGAGCTGGCCCCTGTGGATTCAGCAACAGACAAGAGTTGACTGGAGGATACAAGCAACAGCCAAGAGTTGACTGGAGGATACAAGCAACAGACAAGAGTTGACTGGAGGATACAAGCAACAGACAAGAGTTGACTGGAGGATACAAGCAACAGACAAGAGTTGACTGGAGGATACAAGCAACAGACAAGAGTCGACTGGAGGATACAGCCAAGAGTTGACTGGAGGATACAGCCAAGAGTTGACTGGAGGATACAAGCAACAGCTGCAGCTTTCAGTTGGTGAAACAATCATGGGTAAGATGATTTTTAAAAAAACATTTTTTATTAGTAACTGCTGGTGACCTATATTTCAAAGTCAATGCCATGGTCCACTTTTCAATCACAAGCATCCTAAATACAATCATCCCCTTTTCAATCACAAGCATCCTAAATACAATCATCCCCTTTTCAATCACAAGCATCCTAAATACAATCATTCTCTTTTCAATCACAAGCATCCCAAATGTCTCTGAATCCCAGTCAAGCTGCAGCGTGCATCACTGCATGTGCTGAACATCAGTATGTGGTAGTCATGTCATAAGTACTGACTACTGAATCAAGAGCATATGCTTATCATCCCAAGAAGGATATGTTTTGTTTCTGACAGAAAATGGCGGGGTAGATCCAAAAGGCACTCAAAGCTCAAAGAGCGGTCATTCCACGTCTTTCTTTTCTTTGTTCTGGACCAGTGGACATTCATATAAAAGAATGCAGGCAATGTAGGGTAACAAATGTGTGTTGAAGACACCAGTGACAGACTGACGAATGTTTCAGAAAATGCCCAAGTTCACGACAGATCCTCCAAGGCACTCACCTACCTAAACAATGGCATGTTGGCTAAATGCCTAGAGCAATTTTTTCTGACCAACCCACAGTGCATAATTCATGCAAAATGAATTCTGTTTAATTCTGCAACAAGTGTTGATGTTTCTCTCATGCTTTTGCAATAAAGCCATTGAAACAAGTTTCAATTGAATGTCAGTAATATATATAACAAAACAATTGTATGTGTCACGATAACCAGGACAGTCAAGAGCTGCAGGGACACAGTCACAACCAGGGTTATCAACCATCAGTGTGGGTTCCTATGAGTGGTGTATGCAGGGACACAGTCACAACCAGGGTTATCAACCATCAGTGTGAGTTCCTATGTGTGGTGTATGCAGGGACACAGTCACAACCAGGGTTATCAACTATCAGTGAGGGTTGCTATGTGTGGTGTATGCAGGGACACAGTCACAACCAGGGTTATCAACCATCAGTGAGGGTTCCTATGTGTGGTCTATGACTGCCAATTCTGGAACCTGAGCAAACAAACAAGGAAGATCTTGGAGGCTGTAGAGATGTGGTATTTAGGAGAAGTATTGTGAATGCCATGGACTGTGGGAACTGCTAAAGTGCAGCAGCTAGATATCGGCTCCGGCCCGAAAAATCTTGGGTTCCGATCTGTGACAAGTCTGGATCCCAGGTCCCTTGCAAACTCATCATTACCATTGAGACCTCTAAGAGACAGAGGCAGGCAGGCAGGCAGAAATGACATTGGATGGATAAAGAAGCTGGCACAGAGTTGTGTCCTCAACAGAACTGATTCACAAGCTAAGACCTGTGGAGTGCATGCCCAGACACTTGATGATCAAACAATGATGTGCCATCTCCATAATGAAGGTTGGCTACAGGGTCTCCACTGCTGTCTTTGGGATTATTACACCTTGAAGCCCTCAATCTCTTCCACGGTGTGACTCTCGTACCACTGTTCAAAAGCCCTGGGGTTTTTTTTTTTTTTTAAAATATGCAGTCAGCAGCGGAAATCAAATCCAGGTTTTTCTAGGTCTGTGAAACTGTTGAACACATTCACTGACTTCCAAGCCCCCGCATGATGATGATGATTTTGAGAAAACCAAGACAACTGATTAACCAACACCCCCCCCCCCCCCCTAAGGTTTAGGATACCATCCTGTGACTACAAAATCTTAGTCTGGATGGCAGACCAACATTGTAGATTCTAGATTCCCATTCAACCCTTAAAGAAGTCATGATTAGAGCCGCCCTAATAACTACAACAGCCAGGGGTGGAATGCACTGCTAAGAGGGTAAGTACCCCTGTACCAAGACAACAACAGAACAAGTATTGACAGCTTAAAAGGTCTACATTTGGTACCAACCAGCATCTAGCCCAAACTTGAACACCATGTTCTTGGTTCGGATCTGCTCGGTAAACATCTTGCTGTGCCTGGATGCCACAATTTTCTGCCTTCTCAATAGCTGAACTTCCTGTGGAAGAAAAAGAAACAGAAACTAAACTCACTTGACTGAGCATTGTACTGTTCTTCAGAGACAATGAAGAAGAAGCAGACTCGCAGTCAATAACAGGACAGGATGGAGACAGTTAGCAAAATATTTAAAACCCAAAAATAGATAATAATGTGCCATCTCTACAACAATATGCTATGTCTATTATCAAGGTCAACGTCCCTGCACACTGGGTGTTTCCATGTATGCTGGGTCTTTCAATGCAGCAGTCATTCCAAGGAACCGCTACTGATTGGTCCCATAAAGAATTGGTTTTCATGTCTCGTATCTTAGACAACAGTGACACGTCACTGTCTTTGGAAATATTTCATGGTGAAGCTTAGGTCTCCTCCATGGTGAAGCTTGCGTCTCCCCCATGGTGAAGCTTGGGTCTCCTCCATGGTGAAGCTAGGGTCTCCCCCATGATGAAGCTTGGGTCTCCCCCATGGTGAAGCTTGGGTCTCCTCCATGATGAAGCCTGGGTCTCCTCCATGGTGAAGCTTGGGTCTCCTCCATGATGAAGCCTGGGTCTCCTCAATGGTGAAGCTTGGGTCTCCTCCATGATGAAGCTTGGGTCTCCTCCATGATGAAGCTTGCGTCTCCCCCATGGTGAAGCTTGGGTCTCCTCCATGGTAAAGCTTGGGTCTCCTCCATGGTGAAGCTTGGGTCTCCTCCATGATGAAGCTTGGGTCTCCTCCATGATGAAGCTTGGGTCTCCTCCATGATGAAGCCTGGGTCTCCCCCATGGTGAAGCTTGGGTCTCCTCCATGATGAAGCCTGGGTCTCCTCCATGATGAAGCCTGGGTCTCCTCAATGGTGAAGCTTGGGTCTCCTCAATGGTGAAGCTTGGGTCGCCTCCATGATGAGGCTTGGGTCTCCTCCATGATGAAGCTTGCATCTCCCCCATGATGAAGCTAGGGTCTCCCCCATGATGAAGCTTGGGTCTCCCATATGATGAAGCTTGGGTCTCCTCAATGGTGAAGCTTGGGTCTCCTCCATGGTAAAGCTTGGGTCTCCTCCATGATGAAGCTTGGGTCTCCTCCATGATGAAGCTTGGGTCTCCTCCATGATGAAGCTTGGGTCTCCTCCATGATGTAGCTAGGGTCTCCCCCATGATGAAGCTAGGGTCTCCCCCATGATGAAGCTTGGGTCTCCTCCATGGTAAAGCTTGGGTCTCCTCCATGGTGAAGCTTGGGTCTCCTCCATGGTAAAGCTTGGGTCTCCTCCATGGTAAAGCTTGGGTCTCCTCCATGGTGAAGCTTGGGTCTCCTCCATGATGAAGCTTGGGTCTCCTCCATGATGAAGCTTGGGTCTCCTCCATGATGAAGCCTGGGTCTCCTCAATGGTGAAGCTTGGGTCTCCTCCATGATGAAGCTTGGGTCTCCTCCATGATGAAGCTTGGGTCTCCTCCATAAAGCTTGGGTCTCCTCCATGATAAAGCTTGGGTCTCCTCCATGGTGAAGCTTGGGTCTCCTCCATGATGAAGCTTGGGTCTCCTCCATGGTGAAGCTTGGGTCTCCTCCATGATGAAGCTTGGGTCTCCTCCATGATGAAGCCTGGGTCTCCTCAATGGTGAAGCTTGGGTCTCCTCCATGATGAAGCTTGGGTCTCCTCCATGCTGAAGCTTGGGTCTCCCCCCATGATGAAGCTTGGGTCTCCTCCATGATGAAGCTTGGGTCTCCTCCATGATGAAGCTTGGGTATCCTCCATGATGAAGCCTGGGTCTCCTCAATGGTGAAGCTTGGGTCTCCTCCATGGTGAAGCCTGGGTCTGATCACCCTCTTTGACAGCTCTCCTCCATAACCATCATCTTTGTCACATCACTCTTGTGACAGCTCTCCTCCATAGCCATGATCTTTGTCAGATCACCCTCTGTGACAGCTTTTTTCCATAACCATCATCTTTGTCAGATCACCCTTTTTGACAGCTCTCCTCCATAACCATCATCTTTGTCAGATCACCCTTTTTGACAGCTCTCCTCCATAACCATCATCTTTGTCAGATCACCTTTTTTGACAGCTCTCCTCCATAACCATCATCTTTGTCAGATCACCCTTTTTGACAGCTCTCCTCCATAACCATCATCTTTGTCAGATTACCTTTTTTGACAGCTCTCCTCCATAACCATCATCTTTGTCAGATCACCCTTTTTGACAGCTCTCCTCCATAACCATCATCTTTGTCAGATCACCCTCTTTGACAGCTCTCCTCCATTACCATCAGCTTTGTCAGACCCCTCTCTGTGGCAGTCTTGTCAGATCACCCTCTTTGACAGCTCTTGTCAGATCACCCTCTTTGACAGCTCCTGTCGATCACTCTCTTTGACAACACTCCTCCATACCCCTAAATCCCGAGAAACAGAGCATCATGACACTAATTCTACATGTACACATAAGTTTACAGAGACCAACGTACTTGGCGACACAGGCGTAGCTGTTTGAAAAACTCCAGTAGCTGTCTGAAACAAGCTTGAATGTCAAATGATTCTGCTTCACAGAAAT